TCGGGGCGCAGCGAGGGAGATAGCGGTGGGAGGGAATGGAGGGGATGGGACGAGGGAAAGCGGGGTGGGGCGCAACAGCGCAGGGCGGAGCGGGGTTGGGGAGCGGGGCGGGACGGAGCTGAGGCAGCGCAGGGGACAGATGGGGTCGGGGAAAAGTCGGGGGAGGAATTGGGGGAAGTCAGGGAAGAGTCGAGGGGGGGGGTTGTTGGGGTCGGGGCGGAGCGGGGGGGGGGGGGGGGGGGGGGGGGGGGGGGGGGGGGGGGGGGGGGGGGGGCGGCGGTCGCGCGCACGTGCGCACAGGGAAGGTCGGGCGGGGTGCAGCTCGGGGGCAGGGGATGCCAGGATCGGATTGGCGGAGGGGAAGGAGGTGAGTAGGGGGGGAAACAGTGGTTTGGGGTCAGGGCGCAGTAGCGGGGGGACGTCGGGAAAGCAGCGGGGGACGGTCGGGAAAGCAGCGGGGGAGCTGAGGCGGAGCTGAAAACAGCAGCGGGGCAGAGCGACGTCAGGGCGGAATAGAACGGGGGGGAAGGGGGGGGATTGCGCGCACGTGTGCACGGAAGGAAGTCGGGACGCAGTGGGTCGGGGTCGAAGGAGGGTGAGGAGGAGGAGGTCGGTCGAGATCGAGGCGGGGGGTAACGGGTTGGGGGGGAAAAGCGTTGGTGATTGGGCGGGAAGTCGGGATCAGGACGAAGGCGGGGAAAGTCGGAGTTGAGGAACGGGGGTACATCAGGAAGGGAGGGGGGGCGGGAACAGCCGAGGGAAATTGGGGATGAGCGATCAGACTCCCCTTGCTACAACATGTATGTGGCCAGATACCATTTTGAAGTCGACTTGCACATCAATGGCTATGGCGCACCTGCGCCCACTCAAGCAACAACAGCAGCTGGAGGAACACCGTCGTGGAGATCACCAAAGAGAAAGGCGCCAGCTTGGATAAAAAACGTACCTGGTCACGTTGACGAACCAGGTGCAGCTGCGAAAACGAACTCGGAGGTGGCTATGAGCGTGGTCGGATAGCGAGAGTGGGAGGGTGGGGGGGAAGCAGAGGTTCGAGACTCTGCGTCGATACCAATGTGACGCACGTGCAGGTGATATGTGCGGAGATGGTGTGAGAGAGAAAGAGAGAGAGGAGATGGACACACACGAGAAGCAGCAGCTGAGTGAAGGTCCAGTCCGGCCCAACGAAAGAACGAACAACTGAATGAGAACCTCCCGCCCTGGGCCTAGGCCGAAGCAGAGCTCGCAAACTCCTACTTTTCCTACAAACACGCCCGACCCATATTGGACATCCATAATATTTGGCAGCCGTAGCCAGCCAAAACAGCTGTTTAAAAATCCTCACAACCTGGCCCAGCCGCAGCTGCGACCGATTTGAGCGTACAAACCCGGGCCCGCCTGCGCCCAGGCCTTGTTGAAGAAGAGTTGCATCCAGACCTGCCCAGACCCAGACGTTATTTTCACCACTTACCCCCGCCCAGACCCTCAAGCATAATCCCACCCGCACCCGCCCGTAGCCGGCATTTTTTTTACCACCCGCACCCGCCCGTAGCTGACAATTTTTTTACCACCCGCACCCCCACGTAGCTGACATTTATTTTACCACCCGCACCCGCCCGTACCCACCATTGTCTTTCCAAGTTTTCCAACTATTTGAATTGAAGAACAAGTACGCACATGAATGGTAAGGCTCAAGACAACTGCACATGCCACATGTGTATGCGAAAATAAAAGCCATTAGAAAACGAAGACAAAATTCAAAGCATACAAGAGGTGTCACGAAAGAGAAAAAAACAAAACAAAACATAATTATCAAAATAATAACAAATCCTTAGTGGACAAAGAAAGAAGTATGTCATCATCAAGAAAGACAAGTTGCTTATAATATAACCTCACATACTTTCATTGGTTTGGCATCTCAAAATTTGTCCTAGGCCTTCTTAGCATTGAAAAATGAGATCAATCAAATTTTGAACTTGAAGCTTCGTATCTCACTCTGCAAAGTTTGTTGGCTCACTAGGAAACAATTTTCTCGATCTATCTGGCTCAGACTGGCTGCAGTCATTTTCACTAGGATTGCAAATATCTAAAATACTGCAGTCATAAACTGCCAAGTCTTTGTTCGATCTAACGAACAAAACATCATTCACCACTGACGGTTTTATCGAATTCCGTTTTTTAGTAATAGTGTTGCCTGCATCGAAAAAATTGCACTCGCTTTTTGAACTTGATGCAGACACAGATAGGATGGCACGTGCCACTCGTGCCATAATAGGAAGGGGGGGGAGCAACAATTGTTGTTCAACAGTCTTTACAGCAACCCCTTTTGCCTTCCACCAAGCCAAAATCTCGAACGATCGCTTCTCATCCTTTGTCAACTTCAGGCTCCAATAATAATCGAGCTCCTTCTGTATCTGCTCTTCACTAGTCAATGACGCATTGCCCGCAGCTACATCTATGTCTTTATCTTCTTCATCAGAGCTGCACAATCCAGTACGCGGTTTCGTCTCATCCACCTTTCGTTTTTTCAATGGTCGTGGAGAACGTTCTTTTTCTGATACAACTTCTATGAAACCTTCCTTCCTCACCTCTCCTTCCACTCTTGCACCGACAGTGAGCATCATCCTTCTCACGCCACTCTGTGCTCTTTTGATTTGAGCAACAGGAACCTCAAACAAGTCTAAGCGATCTTTCTGCCTCGGGTCCAAAAGTGTAGCCTGAACGTGCACATCATCAAGCTCCCATTTCTCCCTCAATACCTCTTTCACAAGCTTCTTGATTCCCCTTATGCCTGCAGAGTCTGGAGGGATGGTGTTTTTTTTTCCACTGCTGTCCACAACCTGCAAAGGCACAGTTCGAATCTCACAACGTTCTATGAGAGAGTGTCGCTCGAAAGGGACTAGGTGAAGAGTCGGCTCAAGAATTTTTTCAAGCTTTAAGGTTGCCGCCTGAAAAGGTCTGAGGAACCTTGCCAACTCTTCCAACAGCTGGCGGTCAATCTTTACGATGAGAATCGCACGATTTGCAGTTCGACCGACAAGAATGTTCGTCATATCTTCATAATTTCCAACGACACTTTCTAACAGTCTTAATAATGAATTCCACCGTGTTGCATTCTCTTGCTTCAAAGTGGTTTTCAAACTGTTCTGAAGATTTGTTGGCTTGAAGTACCTGACCAATTCTTTGCAGTGATCAATCATGTCAAAAACCTCAAGTGTGGTGTCATAGAACTTATAAAAAGGAGTAGACGTCACCTTATTGCTCACCGTTGTGGTTTTGTTCAAGACTGTGGTCAAAATGGTTGCGATTTTGTGATCTGCGCACGGGAGCATCCGGTACACACTCCGAATGCCCTCTGCTCCACACATGTTTGACCCACTGTCCGAGCACACAAAACACAGTTCCGGATCAGTGCATCCGTACGCTTCGAGACATTCTCGAAATGCCTTCAAAATGAGAGGTGCAGTGTGCGCCTCATCGTAAAATGCCTTCACCTGTAAGGTTTTATTGTGCAGCTTGAAACAATTATCAATGTAATGAATTGTGACAGACACAAATGAGTTTTTCCTTATTGCATCTGTCCACATGTCAATTGTGAACCCAACACATATTCCCTCCTCGAAGTGTTCTTTTACTCTTTCACTCACTATTTTTCGAAGGGATTCAACAGTCAATAATATCTGCTGCTTCACTGTGTTCGGCGCAGGCACCAGACTTTCCACTCGCATGCCTTTGCCAATGCTAATTCCAACATCTAAAATGACTTGTGCAACTTTTATAAAACCTGCGTCAGAAAATATGAAAAATGGGCGAAGGTCCTCACAACACATCAACGTTGCTGCCTTTGCCAGTTTTTTCTTCTGTGCAGCAGTAGGTTCAATATTGCCCACAAAACACCGCAAAGACCCAGCCTCCCTATTCTCAAGAGGACATTGATGGTTGTTCAACGAACTTGTCCCATTCGATGTTGTATATGCATAGGGGCAGTAGCAGTGCCTACATGCCACATAACATGTGTTGTGCTCCCACACAGGCGACCCGTCTTGCTTGCATACATGCTCAAACAGTTTCCAGCAAGATGCAGTGCTTGAGCTTTCGTCTTTGAGGACGTACTCAGCACCTGACCCACCCTTCTTTAAGACACGCTGGATTCGTGCCTTAAATGTGAACGTGTCGTTTTTTTCTGTTGTCGGCATTGTCCAAAAACTTCGTACCAAAGTACCGGATTTTCCCTCATGCATGCCAGCGCTGTTCAGCGATGGTCGCGATGTCGATGCTCCGCTGCTAGGCTGCCCCTGCATGTTCGCACGCTTCCCTGACCCGGAAAAAAAAAACAAGAAAAGCCAAAATTAAAAAATGAACACCATACCCTTGATGATCCCAAACACCATCACAAATTTCCCTCGCCCTCCAAAGCAGCATATTGGATTCCTGCCTGCCTATAACTGAGCTTGCGTGAGACCATCTGTGTGAGACCATCTGTGTGATGACATAGCTCCATACTTGATTCCATAGCTCCAATGTTCTGGCGCTAGGTAGTCGAGCTTGCGCTGCAGCATATTGGATTCCAAAGCTCCATACTTGATTCCTATCTCATCTCAACTCTATCTTGCGTGATACCATCTGTGTGATGACATGAATGCATGCGAGATACTGCACTCTAGCAAGTTGTGAACTGACGGGTTCCTTGCATCCCACTTGCAGGGAGGATTGCCTGAATCTGGATATGCTTTTCGCCGAGATGCAGAAAAGCAGATCACACGCGATTTCTGCACCTCTCCACAAACACGTCCAGAGTCGGGCGTAAACATAAAAATAGTACATAAAAGGCGCCCAGGGTCGAGGTTCCACTAGCAGACAGAATGTGATTCAAGGCCGGAATCTGGACGTGCGTGTTTTTTTTTTTTTTTACTTTGTGGACGTGCGTGTTTGCCAAAAGGTGCAGAGAATCGCCATTGATCTGCTTTTTTGCATCTCAGAATAAAACACATCGAGGCGCTAAATCCAATCCTCGTTGGGAAAAAAAAAAAAAAAAAAAAAAAAAAAAAAAAAAAAAAAAAAAAAAAAAAAAAAAAAAAAAA